TTATTATATACTGTTTTAAACATAAAATTATTTAAATTATCTTTGTATTGATCTTTCTTTCACTTTCAGGAAGCGGCAGACTTTTTAGTTGATAGTTATACTACGCTTAGGCAAAGAACTGGTAGTAGTTCCGGCAAGTGGAGGGTTACTGTTAGAAAATTAGAAAGTCTTATTAGATTATCAGAAGCAATGGCTAAATTGGAATGCTCAGATGAAGTTACTATAAAACATGTTACAGAAGCAAAACGTTTATTAAGTAAAAGTATTGTTACTGTTGAACAACCGGATATAGACTTAGAAAGAGCAGATGATGATAGAATGGATGTTGATATGGATGAAGCTCCACCTCTTATGGAAGCCCTCAATGCATTGGATCATGATATGGAAGCAGAAACTCCTATACGTAAATTAGCTTATTTTATATATTATATAATATTTTATAAATATTTATGTGAAATAGTTATCTTTATATGTCTTCTTTTTTTTTATATTATATTTATAGAACATAAGAAGAAACTAACAATGTCTTTTGAAGAGTACAAGAATTTATCTAATATGTTAGTGTTGTATATGAGAAACGAAGAAACTCGTGCAGAAAGTGAAACTGATGCTATGGGTATGTCTTGGGAAGTTTTATTTACATAAATACTTACATATTTTATAATAAGTCTTTTTTAAATATAAATCTTACTTTTTTATACAGGTGATACCAAAGGTGGATTAAAGAAATCAGAACTAGTGGCATGGTATCTTGATCAAATACAAGATCAAATAGATTCAGAAGAAGAATTGTTAGAAAGAAAAAATTTTATTGAAAAAATTATTGATAGATTGACATATCATGTATGTAGTAAAATAATCAGTTAAAGTTATTTGAATTACTATTAATATTTTGTTTCTTACTTTTTTGTTTTTATTGCATTTCAGGATCAAATTATAATACCTTTAACTACAAGAGATCAAAAAGATGAAGAAAATGATCCTTTGCTTGTTATACATCCTAATTATATTATTGATGCTTAAATTTTTTGATAAAACATGTACTTTTACGATTAATTACATAATTTATAAGGTAATAGCAAGTAGAAATAAACATTGGAAATTAACTTTTATGAATAAGACAATTTATCTCACATTATCGATGATACGAGATTAAAATATTTTTATAGTACATTTTACTGATCTAATTAAATCAAAGTTTACTTCTACTTGCTTTAATTCATTAAAAATATACGATTCCAAATCAAATACTATGACATATTTTTTACATTTTTTGAAATTTATAATAAATATTTATATTAGTATATGGTGTATCTATTTCATTGACCGTTTTTTAACCATTACTAAGATCATTAAAGTATAGCTGTTTACCAATGCGTTAATATGCGTTGCTAATCATGTTAATTATTATATAGGTTGCTATGTCAATCATGTATTCTAATACTCTTGTGAATTAACATTCGTTTGGAGTAAAGATACATGAAACCAATGATTTAAAACGAGTAAACTTATTTGAAATCATCTGAAAGTAAGAAGTAGATAACAATAAAAGTTTAGTAATATTTTGTATTTAAAAGTAATTTTGAATTAATACTCTCACTTTAACTAATAAATTAATAAAATTGAATATACAATTCTTTGAAAGATTTAAAGCTTTTACGTTCGGATATCATACAGTTTTTATAAAAGTATAAAGCGTCAAATGACACATTGATATATACTACTCTTTATCAGTAACACAAGTGGTGGGGAAATTTGCACAGTGTGCTTAAAAGGATTTACTTTTAAAGTGAATCTGTAGTGTTTTATGTGATTCTACCATAGAGTGACTATGAGAGACCAATTAAAAGAATCTACACGCCATGTAAGTATTAAAAATTAAATAAGAAGGTATGGGTATTAGACTATAAGAATCAATTCTTTTTATTTATAAAAATGTTCAGGAAATCTTACCTAAATGAAATCAAAATTTTTCTTATTGACATTACATACCTAAATATAATTTATATACAGGATTATTCCCGGGCAGTTTTTACTGGAACCTTCCCTGTTTGGCAAGAATTTCTGTTAGTGAAAGAAAGTGTCTTTTGGAGTACAGTGCGTTTATTCGATTCTTTATTACGAGGTTTCAGTCAAGTAAGCAGTCTTTATACTTTTTTAATTAACGTATAAACAATAAAAAAGAATACAGATACAAATATGGAATAGAATAATTATTAGTTTTTCAACATTAGTTAGTTAGAGTCATTTGATTTATAAATATAAGGACCATTTAAAAGATATTCAAAAAGATATTCACAAATCGATATTCGAATTAAATTGTATTTAATTATATCAATTGAAATTATATAAAAAATTGTTTAATTCGTATAATTTTGCAGGCTGTACTCGCAAACAATCCAATTAGTGGATTATTGATAACGATTTCTTTAGGAGTTAGTGCACCAAATACGTTACTCTTCTCAGCGATCACTGGCTTTTTAGGTCTTCTATTATCTGTGGTACGTAGTTGTCAAATATTGAAGTCAAATATTTGGAAGTTAATATCTTGCATTTTTTATTTCGAAAACTTTCCAACATATTTATTTTTCATGTATTCATGAAAAGGTATACTACAATACTACAGTCTTTCTTATACATATGTCCGATACGAATAAATTGCGATTAATTGCATTGTTGATTTGTATAACAGATAACATGTTTGATCCATTATTCATAGTTTTGTTTATTCTTCATCTGGTTATCCAATTTCATTCTGTTTTTAGTTTTTATAACATAATACTGTGCTGTTTCACAAGGGGCAAGAAAAATCACTGCAATGCGGAATTTTTTACGAAGATTAATACGATCGTCGTGTCGCGATACATTTTGCCGAGCTTTTTCATTTATACTCATGAAATTTGCACATTCTGAAAAGCGTACATTTCATTCACAGCTGATACGAGATTCACAGGAAAACATTGTTAATGGGTTGACAGTGTTTAATCCATTATTGGTTGGTGCAGTATCCTCTAGATTATTACCAAACATCTATGGACCATTTGATAGTTTTAGTATACTATTGACGATTCTGGGAACGATATTCAGGCAAGTTTATAATAAATA